ATATATGTGTGTGAATCGTAATATTCGACCCAAAAGTTATACATATACTGAGTAGAAAAACTAAACGTACCCGACGTCTGGATAGAAAGCTTTGACTGCGCTGAAATAAACGAGAATGGCCGCCACCAGACGATGTACCGCTCGACTGTGATTCGTGATTGGTACTTGCTGTCGCGTTGGCCGTGTCCAGATCCCCCTGATTGAACATAACATGACTGATCGATCGCCTGTAATTTAATGAAGACCAGAAGAGTTTTTTATATGCAATAAACAAGTGCACACTGCATAACATCCAAGCCTATTAACAATTTTATAGGCTACATAGCATATCCATGCCCTCAGCCAAAACTATGGTGGCTTAGATATATAAGGTGAAATCTCTATACTGTAGGGCTGAAACTTCATGATGTGGGATGAATGTGCATTATCATCGATTACTGTATGGGTACAGGTGTATTTACCAGGTCTCAAGTGACATATCCAATAGTATCAATGTTATTGGACAAAGCAACATTCTTTAACATCCAACGGTATTGAAACAGAGTTGAAATAGAGCGTATATTATAGATGTTGAGAATCTAGAGTATTATGATGTCAATTCATGTAGTGTCCGTGAGATTTGTCGTTCCACCTTAGTAAAAATACACCTGCTGTCTGACTTCAAAATGCTCGTTAATCGTTTCGCAATCCTTCATCTATAACTTGTAATCATTGAAGGCATCTGTATTGCTTTGTTGTTGTCAATTCAGCAAGCGCAAGCCTGCATAGGATCCCATCTTTTAAACATTTATGTAGATTTCATGTGGCGAATCCGCAAACACTCAAGTTTCCAATTTCGTAAACACTATCCCGCTACTTAAAACCATTTGTAGTTCTGCGTGTCAACCAATCAACCAATATTGAAATGCACGTTTAGCCTAGCATTTGTTTGTGATGCCCATCCTCTCGAATGGATCATATATTCGCCTCGTGCACACAAGATATAACAGTATTGGTTCCTCGTATTCATCCATACTCCCCTGGCTATTGCATATATATCACATTGTCATAGGTTTGATAGAGACGTAATGGCTTACTACAGAAAAAGTAGCGGGTATTACATAGCATTGTCGGCGAACGAGAAGCGGTGATGGGAGCACATGGTAACAATGGGTGCACTCGGCAGAGGCTTTACACTCGAACAATACGATTTGACACCAATGATGTTCTCGTGCCTCGAAGTTGAGCACAAATACACTACAATACCATTGGCGATAAGAACTACTGATCTCACCATGCCGGGAAAGCAAATACGTAAAAGGTCAGCATTGAGAATTTGATTGAGTTGATCGAGTGAAATCTAACTATACATCACGTACCCTCAAGCTTTCTGCTCTTTTTTTATACCCTACATGTGCACCCGTGAGGCGCAACCCTTTCATTCACAATCCGCACCAGAAATATACCAGAGTGACAAACAGGGCAGACTTTAAGAAGTTTACAAACAACACTATAAACTGATTGTAGTACTACAATTGTAACAATAACAAACTATAATGTTAATACAATAAAATAATGAACCCCTCCTACCTGAATGCGTCTCTGTCCTTTCTCGTTCCCAATGGGGTGGTGGCAGATGACTTGGACGTGGCTGTCGATTGCGAAGTGGTTTTAAGCGCACGTCGAAGCTCCATACAGCTGTTTTGCCTGACGGTGGGGGTGTGCAGGAAGCCCTGGTCAATCGAGCTCATACTTGTAAACAGAGTATTTGATCAGACTTTTAGATGGACTATTCTAATTCAAAATGCTTCCGTATGAATATGAGCTCCAGTGTGATGGGGTAGCTTGGTCTTTGTTTTTGGACGTTGGTACACATCACCGTTTATTGTTAATTGAAAGGGTTCTGCCGTGCATTTGCGGTATTCGAAAATACATGCACACACATGCAACTGATTCAGTATGCAAGTCGACTATTCCATCCAGTGGCACACACACGTCTTCTTACGTAAACTATATATTTATTTATTTTAATATTACTTCGTCAAGCCAATCCACAATAACTTCTTGTCTTTTTTTAAAAGCAGTATCTGATGCTTGTTCAAAGGGGAGAAGGGTACATACTTACTAGCCACACACAACAAGAAGGAGAGGCCAGTTTGTCAGTCGAGGTAGGGGGGGGGGGGAGAGAAATCAGAAGTACGAGGGGAAGCACGATTAGAAAGGGCTGTTCTGTTATTGGTTCAATGATAGAAATGGCTATTGGTTGGCGCTCATCCCAACATATAAATAAACCAGTTTTTATCCAACCCAAAACTCTCTATAAAAAAATAGGCCACAATATTGTAGGCCAGTCCCGATTCATAAACCCACTCTTGGAGTCTTTGTGTGTTTTTATATATATATTGCCATAATTCACAAAGCAGAAATCAAAATTCAAATTCTAGAGTCAATTCGGTCCAAGCGATTTGTGCACCAAAAACAAATCTGCAAATTGGCTTTACGTTGCATAGCAAATTGAAGTTTATCGATGTATTAGTGGTTAATCATTGCTTTATCGTAGTGGATCTCGGTTTTGAGTTTGTCCGGGGGACGAAACAAATTGATATTTTTGTGTAAATACAGTTGTGTATTCTTCTCTCTCTCTCTCCTTGTGTGTACTGCTATGTATCATATCTTCCTGAAATTGAAAAAGGAAGTTATATATGTATATATATATATATATATATATATATTCTTTTATATATATATATATATATATATATATATATTCATGTCATGTATGTAGTATATATATATTATTATATATATATATATATATATATAGTTATTAGTAATAATAATAATAATAATAATATAATAAC